GCGGCGCTCGGAGGCGCGGGGCAGCCCTCGAGGCCTCCGCGGCCAGGCCCCGCCGTGCCCGGCCCCCGCCGCGGCGGGAGGCGGAGCCGAGCCCTGCTGACACCGGCGGCGGGCGGTGCTGCAGTGCGCGGAGCCGCCGATCGCCGCCGGAGCCCCGTGGCTGCAGCTCGCCGTGAGCGGGGGTGCCGGGGGAACGGAGACGAGTGGCGGGCGGCGGGGCGGGCGTGGGAGGGAGGGACGAGGCCGCCGCCATGTTCGGGAGCCGGGGAGCAGAACGGGCGGGGGCGGCACTCGAACCGGAGCCGAGAACGGCGGCCGGGACTCGAACCCGGGTCCCTGGGGACTCGAGCCCGGGTTCCCTGGCGGGTGCGGGGGGCGCAGGGGCTCGCGGGACCCCCGGGGCGGTCGCGCGCTCCCCCCCCCTCCATTATTCCTCCCCCCCCGCACAGCGCGCGCGGGGGGCCGGACGTGACTGGCTGCGTTCAATTTGTCACGCGGCCATTGGCTGGCGGGGGCGGGCGGCGCGCGACGTCAGCGCGCGGCGCTGCGCGGCCGGCGGCCATTTATAGGCGCGGAACGGGCGCTGCGCAGACGGAGCGAGCGGGCGCTACCGGGAATACCGGCGGCTGTATCGCGGCCCATCCTCGCGGGAGTGCTGAGAAACCCCCCGCGGAGCCCCGATCCACCTTCTCCGAGCGCCCCTTCGGCCGCCGCTGAGCTTTTGTTTCTGTTCGCGCAGCGCCCGAGCGCCCCCACCCAGCTTTGTTCTTCTTGAGGCCCCTGCGGGGAAGGCGCGGCCAAGATGGATCCTTGTCACACCGAGGAGACCGAGGGCGAGATCCCCGGCTTGGGTAAGGCCCGGCGGCGGCGGGCGGGGAGGGGGTGGCGGGAGGGAACGGGGGGAGGGGAGAATGGGCGATCGCACCCTCACGGCGCCGCCCGCCCGGGCCCGGTGCCGCGGAGGCCTCACGATGGGAGGGGGAGGGGAGGCGGCGGGGACGGGCCCGGCCGCGTGCGCCGCTCACCCCCCCGGCCGCGTGCGCCGGGCGGGGCCGCGGGGGCTCCGCGGGGTCTCTGTCCCGCCTCCGCCGCCGCTGCCGCGCCCGCGGGTCCCCCCCCGGGGGGGGGGGGGGGGGGGGGGGTGAGATCGGCAAACGAGATAAGCGTAAATTACAGTTTATTACAGGTCTAACGTCCAGCCTTAAGTAGCGTAAATCCGGTGGAAACGGCCACTCAGTAAAGCAGAAGTTGAAAGTAAAGGTTTCTGGACGCCATAACAGTCTCGTCTTAAAATGGTGAACCCGTGCCAGTTATTGCAAAACAGCTCTGCTCAGCGCCTGCTATCTGTTTACTGGGTGTCGGCCTCTCGCTGAGCTCCCCCGTGGGGACAACCACTCGAGAGGCAATATGACTTTTAAATCTTTATTAAGCAGCAGAAAATATACAGGAAAAAAAAAAACATATCAAAGCACCCCCATATTTATTCTTTTTAGCTATACAAAAGGTCTATCAAAACCCACCCTGCTCAGACAAGGATAAAAATAAATCCCAAATCATGTTATTAACATTTCAAGCTTGCTTTAAAATAGGCTGTACAGGTAATGCATTTGGTTTAAGTAAATTTTTAAACGCATACATTGTTGAGTGAATTTCAGAGACTTGTTATTCAAATTAATTTCCATCTTCTAAAGAAGTCAGGAATGACTTGACCTATCAAAAAAAAAGCATATTTATTATTTGGTACATTAAAACTAAAGTACCAGGCTTTTCCTTTTATTTGGGAAGAAATTGTCTAGTGATTTTTTTTGCCCCGTATTGAATTCACGAACTGAAATGCATGTGGCCTTTCAGAGGGGCAAGGTATGTCCGAGTGTCTGCTCAAAACGAAGCTATTAATTGCTGGTTTCCATAAAGATGTAATGCCAAATACCTCCACAATTGATCATTGCTCCCCTTCCCGGTTCTAAATAAACCTTCCCTGTTTATTTAGAGCTGTTTAATTGAGGGAATTAGTGTTGTCTTAAAGGAGTCATCATTCTCCAGTAATCTCAAATTGATGACCCAGAGCAAAATGAAAATGGTTTATAGGGTTTGCTAGGAGAGCACTTCCTCATGCTTCTAAGTATTAGATGGAGGTTTTTTCCCCATGACTGGCCAAACAACACCAGAATTTCTTTTGGCATTTACTTCCCAAGTCTTGCCTTTCTTTGGAATTGGTAAACACCATTTTGACTGAAGTGACCTCTTTAGTTCCACCTTGTCTCAAATGGTTGTTAACTCTCCCTCCCCACTCTATTTGGAAATGTCACTGCATGCATGATAACTGCAGAAGAAGAGCAGATAAAAATCCCCCAATGCCTTATACTTACTTTATCAATCAGGTACTCTTGTTTAATTTTATCGTTCTTAAACTCTTCATTAACATCCAAAACTAGAATAGGAATCTCCTTGATGTTCTCAAAATCAACTCTGTTGGAAGAACATAATTTTAGTAAAATCTACACAAAATTCTGTGCTTTCAAGACCCCTGCTTTTGATTACTACATGGACCCGAAATGTTAAAGCTGATGGTCATAACTTAAACATAAAGCCCATGCCAAGTTCTTCCTTAATTGCTCTTCATATATTTCACAAATCTGGACTCTTAGTATTTAGCTGTAATGTACAAGTGGGGGGCAAAGATAGTTCTTACCTTTAATTTCCTTTATCTTGTTGTCATGGAATCAGTTACCAGGAACTGATTGTGTAATTGTAAGATAGAGTATTTTTTTTCGAAATCTCCTTTGCCCTGTGTCTCCCCCACTTAATCCACTTACCAAGATGCAATTTTTAAAGCTTCCTTTCATAAGGATGAGCCCTTCAACAGGTTATAAAACTGGTGTTTATAACATCTTGGATCATAAGCAAGACCATTTTGGCTTCAGTTTAGGAACAGATGGGAGCAGTAGTTAGTCTTTCTGAGTGTGGAAGGCATTTCTAAAACGCAGTACGTGTGCTGAACAACATTTTAACTTGTGCTTCCACACTTCAGTTCTTATTACAAATACAGGAAGTGCTTGCTTACTGAGTTTGGAATGTGTACACAACATAAACATTCCTAAAGTTCCACACTATGCACTGTCTTGTAAGTATTTGGGTCATCCTATGTAAAACTTAAGCAAGTAGATCAAATTGATAATTTACTTTTCCTAGAATTGTAATGCTTCCCCTTCAGTAGAATATTTTGGACTCCTCTAGGGAAAAATCTAGAGTCTGTTTTCATGTTCAGAGATTGTTTAGATAGGAAAGCCAGTAAGAGTCATAAAAGAACTGAAGGGAAGGTGTGCAGACAACACTCAGTTGCTAATTAGGTTTCTTGTGTGTAAGAGGTATGCCAAAAACCTTGATTAGTGTTCAAATCTATGTTAGGATTAATATTTAAACTTGGTTGAAATATAGTTCTGGTAGTTTAAATGTAATTGAGGCTTTTTTTGCCCCTTACATTGCAACAGAAATGAAAATGGGTTCCTACCTCATAGTCCTTTCATGAAGCCAGGTTTCATGTTTATAGTGGAGGTTTTCCAAATACTCAAGCTCAATTCCTTGCTCCTCTCTTCTTCCCCTCATCTGTAGCCTTTCCATGCATTTCTGGGGAAAAAAAAAAAAAAAAAAGTATAAACCTGGTCATTAAATCATGTGTTGTGGGTTAAATCAGCTAAATGGATCAAGTGGTCCTTAACTTGGAAGGACTAATGCTAGACATTAGTGAGCATTAATATTAAATGCTTGGCTGAATATAAACGAGTTAAGTCTAGAATAACTTTTTCGTATCCTCTTAAGCCTCTGGAAAATGAAATTGGATCTGAGAAACGTCCATTTTTAGTGAGCATACCTGAGGTGTGGTTCTGAGATATATCATGCCATCCAGTTCTATATCTGATTGAAACTGATTCAAAAGCCATGTGTGCCAGTCCTGATAAATAGACCACTCTGTTTCATTAATATTTCCAGACTCGAACAGGTTAGAAGCAAACACATATCTGCAATGAAAGACATCAGTCTCATGCCAGGAATGACGAAAGTGAACTACCAAAACACTTGTAATCAGAATGATGGTATTGAAAAAAAATGCCTTAATCAAGCCTGCTCTATTGTAGGTATTAGTTTAAATAGCAAGTGTTTCCTCAGCTCCATGTCTTCAAAGACCTGGAAATCGTTAATATGAGTTCTTGCCGTTGTGAGAGTAATTACCTGTCACTGTACACAGATCTTTCGAAAAATTGCACTGGATGTTCTGCTTCATATAGCTTGGCTGAGACAGGTTTTAATTGTGCTTTTACTCGGCTCAAGCAAGCATAAGTTTGAAATGTGTAAGCCCATCTTGTGGGTTTATCATACAGCATTTGAAGTAAGTTTCCTCCACTCTTCTGAGATGTTGAAAGTTCCTAGAAGACGAGAAAAATGTTTAAATAAGAATTCACGGCTTTCTTATTACTAAGAAAAGGCTTAGGCATAGGACCTAAGAGACTCTTTTTTTCCTCAGGTGATGGTGGTTTTCATGGCGACTTATTTGAGCAGTTTGAGTTTCAGATTTTAGTACGATTCCTGTGGAGTAGGGGATGTGATTTGGAATATACATCAGTAGTATCTTGCCTTTACAATTTGAATGCCTGACCAACTGTGGTATGATAGTGGGGATAGTCTGCATCTGGCTGATGCAGACTAAGTATAGCTGGATTTTGGCATAGCTCCCTGGCTGTGGAAGTCCCTGCAGTTTCTTCAGGTCCAAATCCAGCACACCTACCTCATACTCATCCTCGGCTGTCTGGATGTTGCACCACTTAGCGATGGGCTCGGGGATGATCTCCCACTCATCGCTGTGTTTCTCCAGCAGCCTGACGAACGTTGACTTCCCGGCAGCTGCGGAAGATGAGAGCAGTTCACAAAGGGGTGGGGGTTGATTGCTCTGGTGCTGCTGCGGACAGGGGCAGTTTGAGGGTTGGTGAGCGACTGTTGCAGCGCGGGGGCGGCCGGGTGCGCCGTGGAGCAAAGTGCGCTGATCTTTGTCGCCAGAGGGGCCGCGCCCGGCCCGGCGGGCGATAAGGCGGCCGAGGAGCAGCCGACATTTTAGAGCTGCCGTGGCGGGCGGAGCTTAGCGGGGAGAGCGAGGGAGCGGCCGCGCAGGCGCTGGGACTTGGCGCGGGCGGGAGCGAGCGAGCGCTGCAGCCCCGGACGGGCCGCGGAGGGAGTGGGGGTATGGAGGGGCACCGGGGTTTGTGCTCCCGAGCCCGCCCTGCCCCTCGGTGTAACTGACGGGCACCCGGCTCGCGGAGCTCCCCATCCGTCCCAGCCTTGCTCCGGGTTCACGTCCCGGTGCGGTTCTCCCTGCAGAGCCGCCCCGCTGCTCGCAGAGCCGGGGGGACAATCGCTGCAGCCGCCCCTCTCTCTCACTCTCCCCGGGCATGCCAGCCCCTTGGGGCGCTCCCGGCCTGACACCCCCAACTTCCCCCCTACTACCCTGAGCCGCCTCCCGCACCGCCGAGCTCACCGATGTTCCCCTCGATGGAAATCTTCCTGAGGCGCTTCTGGAAGCTGGATTCGAGGGAGCCGGCGGGGCTCTGGCAGTGCCGCTTGGCGGGGGTAGACATGGCGGTGCCGAGCGGGAACTCGAGGGGTTCCCGGCTGCTCCCGCGCACTTAAAGCGTCCCGCCAAGCGGGTGGGCGGGATGGCCGCTTCCCGCCAGCCCTCCCTGGGAAGAGGCGGAGGCGCTGCCCCCTCCCCCGCCGCTCCTGCCCAGCTCCTGCCGCCGGGCTCTTACAAAATGGGCGTTCGGCAAGTGAAATGGATAAGAGAGCTTTGTGCAGGAAGTGACTGTAGCACGGTTCCAGTTACTGATCTAATTTGCATTTCTGTAAACGAATTCGCCATGTTGTTTGATTTACTTACGTAAGCTTGAGCACGCACTTAAATAAAAGTCAAAAAGCCTCCAGGTGTGGGGGTGGGGTGGTTGTTAGTAGCTTGGAACATGTAATGAGAGATGAGGCGATGTAGGCTCATAGTCTGTTATGGTACTGACTGGAGAAGAAACGCTCGTGGATGAATGGCGTTCATCCGGAGACTACTCAGAGCAGCTTCTGGGTTCCAAATCCCTATGTCGGGGCTCTAGGAGCCTGCTTAACTTTAGGCATGGGTTCTCTATCAACTGTGTAGACAAGATTAAACATGAGCCTGGTGACCCAAGGGGAAGGGGGATGGAGGATTCTTAAGAGTTATTTCAATTTCCTCCTTCCTCCTCGGTAATACAGGGTGAAATCTAGCTAGGTCTGGTGTGTTTGGAGGAAATGGGAGGGAATTAACTTTTCAATTCTTTTATGATAATTGTGACCCATTGTCTCTTCTTTCCCCATCTCCTCCAAACACACCAGGCTTCAGTGACCGAAGCGAGCAGATTGTTTCACGCGGGGTAGCGTCAGCCTTTGAAGCTGGTAAGTGCTAGTTCGCACACGCGGCGTGTGCAGCCGGAGCGCTCCGCGGTCCGCGCCGCGCGGGAGCCGCGCCGGGCCGGGGCGGGGGCGCGCGCAGAGCGGCGCGCGGGGCCGCGGCTTTGTTCGGCGCGGCGGGCGGGCGGCGCGTGCGCACAGGCGGCGCGCGGGGTCTCGGGGGTGGGGCCGGGCCCCACCGGCGCACGCGCGCTCCCCGGCCACGCCGCGGCCGGGCCCGTGCTCGGCGAGGGCTCGCGCTGCTCGGGGCCCTCCCTGCCAACCGCCTGCGGGCCTTGCGCCATCGCCGGGGGCCGCCAGGGCGGCGTCTGGGACCGCGCTCTTTGTGCGGAGGAAGGCCCGGCCCAGCGGAAGCACCCGCCGCCATTTCCTAGCGCGCTCTCGCTACAGGCTCGCCCGCTCGCTGCCGCCTGCCCGGGACTAGGCGCTCTCCGGAGAGTGGATCAGGCTCGGAGCCCTAGAACCAGCACGGAGCCCCACCATGTGTGCGTGCGGGGAAGGGGCAGGGCACGGGCCGGGGGCGGGAGCGGCGCCGTGTGTGTGAGGCGGCAGCGCCCGAGGCACAGGAGGATCAGGGAGGGCCGGGCCACAGGCCAGGGGGCCGCCGGGCGCTCTGAGGGGGTGCGGGTGGCGGCCGTGCTGAGCAGCATCTCAAAGGGCCCGTTCTGATCTTTCCAGCAACCACAGAGGCGGAGACAGAGCAGAGCCTCACCCCCAATGTGATGCTTAACACAGAGAGCAGCGAAGGATATGTGGTGAAAGTCCGGGGGCTGCCTTGGTCTTGCTCCACCGAAGAGGTGCAGAGGTTCTTCTCTGGTAAGTGGGGTTGGGGGGGAGTAAGAGGTGTGGGAGAGGGGTTGGGATCTGCTGTCAATTCTGGGTCCCTCCTAGGGACACTCTGGCAGTGGGAGTGCTGTAGTGAGCGGTTGCAGGAGGCATTCAGTAGCCAGTGCAGTTTGTAGTGCAACAAGTGCTTCAGCCAGAACCTGGGATGCAAAGCCATGTTCATGCTAGCAGGAGCTCAACACAAAGGGGCTTAGTCTGAGTTGCTGGGATAGCCATAAATGGCTTTACTGCTGGAGAAACCAGGAGAGAAAAAGGTTACATTTTAAAGAAAGTTCAACCTGAAGCATGAATTTTAAAGCTAAATCAGTTTAGTTCTTGTATTGTCCCAATAGACTTAGTCTGTTGGGACAATACAAGTGTTCAGTGTGTGTATTCTTGCCCAGATTATTAGCATTCTGCAGTAATAAGTAGTGGTGATAAATGCATGCTTTCTGTAGTGACTGGGTCTTTTAAAACTGCTTCAGGAATATGATGTATTGGACTTGGTTCTGATTTAGGTTATTACACTTACACTGATGTTACTATTTCTATTTCATGCTAATAAGAAAGTTAAGATCAAAAGCTGTGTATGTTCAATTTGAGGCAGAAAAGCTTCGTAGATAGCTAATTTGAAATTACCCTTTATCTGTAGGTTTGACTAGAATGGTAACTTTATTTAGTGTCTTAGTTTAATTGGCCATTTTAAAGTTACAACATGAATGCTGCTGGTTTCGTTGTCATAGTGTTATTGGTATTCAGTATATTTTTGGTTTTAGGCTGAAACTTTCAAAGTAACACTGTTCCTATAATAATTAATGTAATTCTGGCCTTTCTGTTTAATTTCAGATTGCAAAATTCTGAATGGCGCTTTGGGTATCCGTTTCATCTACACCAGGGAGGGCAGACCAAGTGGAGAAGCATTTGCTGAATTGGAGTCAGAGGAGGATGTGAAATTGGCCCTGAAAAAAGACAGAGAAACAATGGGACACAGATATGTTGAAGGTTTGACTCAGTCGGTCTAGTAACTGACTACAATGTGTTTGTGCTTGATGGGTTTTGGTTAATTGCATTTTTTGTCTCTTTAAAATGCATGTGAAAGGACAAATGGACTTGCATATCATAAGTTGACTAGTTTCAAGGCAGATGACTTTAAAAACTCTTCCTTTCTCCAGAATGCATTAATTCTAAGTGCCTTTTACAGTTTTCAAGTCAAACAACGTTGAAATGGATTGGGTTCTGAAGCATACTGGTCCCAACAGCCCTGATACAGCTAATGATGGTTTTGTACGTCTTAGAGGACTCCCATTTGGCTGTAGTAAAGAAGAAATTGTACAGTTTTTTTCAGGTATGTGGGATAAAAGTAGTAGCTGTAGCACTATTGGTTTATGCTAAAAATACCCCAACAAACCAAACAGGCATGGATTGCCCAGTAGTACATCCAACAGTATTATCATGGGTATTAAAAGTAAATAAACCAATTCTTCACTAGTTTTCTGGGCATTAGGAGTCCTTTGGATCGCTTCCTAAAGTACTTGATAATTAAATAATTTAGGGAATGCCAAAAAGGTGCTTGAATTTATACTTGGTGGGACATGTTCCAAGAAAGGATTATAGAAAATATCTTGTTTTCCAAATAAAGCTGAACAGTTCATGTGGGAGGCTACTTCCACCCCCAGCCTTGGATGATTGGCCCTGGTCAGTGAAGGATGTAGAACCCTCTCGCCACTGGGCTCTGTGTGAGGAGCAGGTTCTCAGTAAAGGCCCATGACCTCTTCCCAATATAGAGCTAGTATTGAATGAAATGCAGAGAAAACCTGCTGAACTCCACCCAAATACAGATTTACAGATTTGACCCTTTCTCTTCCTATGGGGATAAAAAACCCACCAGACCCTTGATGTTGCCTAGCTCAGAGTTTTTATGGATGAAGAGATAATGTTTTGTTTTGACTAATTTTTACTTTTTTTGCAGCTGTTTTATGTTTACAAACTGGAATTAAGACTATTAAAATGTCTAAGAAAGGAATCTGTTGATTGTTTAGTATTTCACTTGTTATTATTTTCAAAATACTAGATTTCTAAATGTTTTGCTATTACAAGATATTGATTAAGCTTGCTGTTTTGCTTTAAAATACAGTAGAAACATTTCCAGTTTTACAATCTCAGAACTTGTTTTTTTTTGTTTCTGAATTGGTAATATGAACAAGAGCAGTTTCTAAGCATGTGCATTTTAAGCTTTTTTTTTTCTTACATGAAGTATTTCAAGCTTTATAAGTTGTTAATGTGCTTGATATATAAAATGTGTCTCTTCTCTTCAGGAACTGATACTTAAAAATTACTTCATGATTTTTTTCTTAATTAAGCACTCCTAAAGATAAAAAAATGCTGAAACTTGATGTTTGCATAAGACTAATTATTTTATGTGAGTGACTTCTAGTAAAATTACTTGTTCTATATAAAGCTGTTTAACTTACTGTGTTTGAATTTTAAGTTCTCTTAAAAAGTTCATCTTAAATACTTTCACAGAATTGACAAGGTCTGTAATAATGTGTGAAGTTCTTAACACACCCTGCATTAGATGCCTTCTCTGAGGGGCTGTCCCTGGCCCTCTGAGCATTTCTGAGCTCTGCAGGGTGGGTTAAGAACCTGAATTGAATGGTATGTAATCATGGAGCTCTTTGTTGATGTGCCTTTTTTATTCTGGTGTTCTAGAATCTACATACCATTCACTTAAGTGTTTAAATTCTGGTGTTTTTAAAGCTATAAGAAAAAACTCATGACTGGGCTTGTGATGTTAATATTGCCCCCCTACTGGGGTTATTTGTCCTTGGGTTGAAGGGTTGGAAATCGTGCCAAATGGGATAACATTGCCGGTGGACTTCCAGGGGAGGAGTACGGGGGAGGCCTTCGTGCAGTTTGCTTCACAGGAAATAGCTGAAAAGGCTCTAAAGAAACACAAGGAAAGAATAGGGCACAGGTGGGGATGGATGGTTGGTTGGCTCTGTCACTTTTCTTATGGTAAACAATTAAATCCATATTCTCTCTTCTGAAAGTGTAAACACCCAAATCAAAATAGTGTTGTGGTCTCTGACTTGGTGATGATTAAAGATATTGATTGCTACAGTGTGTGTGGCACAGACTGTTTAGATCTACCCAAAAATACTAGATAAAATTGGGCTAAACTAAAATGTGCATTGGAAAATGAGTAATGACAGGCATTCAAAACTATAGCTTGAAAATGACAAAGTTGAGAGACTATGGCTTTAACTTCTCAAATAGCACCAATTCTGCCTTTAGCTCTAAAGACATGCACAGTATTCTTACTACCATAAGAAAATGTGATACTTTCTAAACTTGTTTTATAAGTTGAAATGTAACAAATTTACTTAACTTGTATTAATCTTCAATGTAATAAG